TCCCCCTCGTTTCCTCGAGCGAGCACGTGGCCTTAAATCGTCGGGATACAAGGACATAGTATAGGAGGGGAGGCGGGAAGTTGCTATACACGCACGAATGCGCGCATCGGTGGTTTTTTTCAATCGGCGTATCCTTTAATTCGTCGCCCGAGGATAACACCCTCCCTTATCCCTTATCTCTCTCTTTCTTCCCTCCTCGTCGTGTCGTTGTGCGACCGCTGGTCGCCNGAGAGAGATATCGGGGTAAAGGGCGGAGAGATACAGAAGTTGCGTGCGTATAAGCAGGAATCTTGGAGAGAGAGAGAGAGAGGGAGGGAGGGAGGGAGAAAGAGAGAAGCGAAAGCGTAGGGTAGCAATTGATGGGACAGGGTGGCGCGTTTGTTGAGCTAATTACTGTAAGGCGAGGCGCTTACGCGCGCCGCTACATACAAACGGCATTAAAGGTGGTGGCCATCAATCCCCGCGGGTCCCCTTTTCCAGTCCTGGCAACTCGCCTCCTTTCTATCCTCCGTCTTCGGGGAGCGTCCTTCCACGCGATACGAGATTCGAGGTATTAATTGGCGTGATCCTCGCGTCTCCTCTTTCGAAAATTCAAGGGGAAAGGGGAGAGGAGGGAGGGAGGAGGAAGGGGAAGATTATTTCATCGGTTGAAAATGTTGCATCGATTCCATTCGTTACGAAAGGACGACGCGAGAGGATGTTAATTGATTAACTCGAAGAACTCCATCGTTCGACGAAATGGGAGATTCTTTCGTTCGTCAAAATGGAAAAAGGTCGAGGATATCGAGTGAAGGTTCGCTAAGGAAGAATTCCATTGTTCGCATCGAAAGACAAAACGAAAGATTCTTGCGTACAAAATGAAAAAAGTATGTTAATCGAATGAAAAGAGGAAGGAGAGTATTAATTATTTGGCGATCCTCTTTCGAAAATTCAAGGGTAAGAGCGAAGATCTCCATCGTTCGCTGGAAGAATGACAAAATGAAAGATTCTTTCCCTCGTCAAAAAGAGTAGTATAGTGGCAAAGGGTAAAGGCGAAGGACTCAATCGTTCGATCAAAAGACAAAATCAAAGATTCTTTTGTCATCAAAAAAGAGCAAAATAGTGGCGAGAAATTAAAAATGGAAAAAAAGCAGGACTCGGTGAGAATGTTAATCGAGTGAAGGTTCACGGGTAGAAACGAAGGACTCTATTCGACCAAGAGACAAAAGAGCAGGATATTGGCAAAGAATTCGAAATGGAAAAAAAGCAGAGCTCGATATCGGTGAGAATGTTAATCGAGTGAAGGTTCACGAGTAAAAACGAAGGACTCTATCAAAAGGCAAAATGAAAGATTCTTTCGTGCGTTTGTCAAAATGGAAAAAGAACAGAATATTGGCAAGAAATTCGAAAAACGAAGGACTCTATCATTCGACAAAAGACAAAATCAAAGATTCTTTTGTCGTGCGTTCGTCAAAAAGAGCAGAATATTGGCTTAAAAATTAAAAATGGAAAAAAAGCAGAGCTCGATATGAGGATGTTAATCGAATGAACTCTATCGTTCGAACAAAAGACAAAATGAAAGATTCTTTCGTCAAAATAAAAAAAAAAAAAACAAAATATTGGCAAGGAATTCGAAAAGCAGAGTTCGATATCGGCGAAGATGTTAATCGAATGAAGGTTCACGAATAAAGGCGAAGAACTCTATCGTTCGAGAAAAAACAAAATGGAAGATTCTTTCATCGTACGTTCGTCAAAAAGAGTAGGATAATGGCGAGAAATTAAAAATGGAAAAAAAGCAGAGCTCGATATGAGGATGTTAATCGAATGAACTCTATCGTTCGAACAAAAGACAAATGAAAGATTCTTTCGTCAAAATGAAAAAAGAGTAGGACATTGGCAAGGAATTCGAAAAAAAGCAGATATCGGCGAGGATGTTAATCGAGTGAAGGTTCACAGTTAAAGGCGAAGAACTCTATCGTTTGACAAAAGACAAAATGGAAGATTCTTTCATCGTACGTTCATCGAAAAGAGCAGAATATTGGCGAAAAATTAAAAATGGAAAAAAAGCAAAGCTCGATATCGGTGAGGATATTAATCGAATGAAGATTCACGAGTAAAAACGAAGGACTTTATCATTCTACAAAAGACAAAATGGAAGATTCTTTCGTGAAAATGAAAAAAGAGCAGGACATTGGGAAGGAATTCGAAAAAAGCAAAAGGGCTCGATATCGGCAAGGATGTTAATCGAGTTCACGGGTAAAGGCGAAGGACATCCATCGTTGAGGCAAAAGATGAGGAAGAAAAAGTTGAAGGAATCGGGGGAAACGTTGTTCGATGAGGTGGGCGAGTGTTGGCGAGCGACGCGACATAAATAATCGGAGCCGATAATTAAGATGGCGTTTCGGCGCTTGTGCGTGTACGGGCCGACACCCGCTGTCTCCTCGCGACGTGGCATCGAGCTCACGCGTGTAGACACGCGAGCCCGTGTCCGAGCCATCCAGGGGAAAATATATCGCCCGTTCCTCGCCCCATTCCGCCTCGATTCTGCTCGCCGTTTCGTTGTTTCGCGGCTCGGGACGACGTTCCCCGCGAATTTCGGCCAAGGCGAAATAGAAGGGTCCTCCTTCCATCCCAGGTAAGAGGGGGGAAAAGGTGACAAAGGGACAGCGGCAACAGAAGCGAAGAAAAGAGAGAGAGAGAGAGAGAGAGAGAGAGAGAGAGAGAG